AGATAGATAGATAGATGATAGATAGATAGATAGATAGATAGATAGATAGATAGATAGATAGATAGATAGATAGATAGATAGATAGATAGATAGATCTTCTTATCCTACCTCGGGTGCTATGGAGCATAGTGTGACTCCTCTTTGTGGTAGCCACTCAAATGTTGCAACACTGCTGTCATGTCATCCCTGGTGCTTCTTTCTATTAAACTAGACCTACCCAGTTCCTGCAACCGTTCTTCTTATGTTTTATCCTCCAGTTCCCTAATCCTTTTTCTCACTCTTCTCTGCACTCTTTCTAAAGTCTCCATAAGATTGTTGAAACAACCATCTGCAAGTGAGACCTATAAAGATGTTTTTTCCAGCTTGTTTGGATTAAATTGCAAATGGGAAGATTTTTCTAAAGAAGGTGAGTCACTGGAGCTCTATGAGAACGAAAAACGGCAGTAATTCTAGGCCAGGCCACAGCCTCCAATGCTGGGCTGGGAAAGATGCAGAAAATAGTCCACAAAAGATGAAAGAACTTGCTTTAAAATGCAGTGAAATGCCTTCCTGGCAGGGAAAAGGATGAGCTAAACAAGATACAGAAAAGATGTTTTCTGCCTGTATGTGTGGAATATTTATTTTAATTAAGGAATGGTATCTAAGGAAAACCAGCTAAATGGCAGATTCTACTAGGATGGCTAAACTTTTCGGTGCCGTGCTGAAAATGCACATGCTTATTGCACCCATAATGCAATGCCTGCATGACCCCCACACACATGCAAACGTGACCCCTGTATGTGCCACCCATGCATTCACGTGTGACCCCCCCGTGCATGCGTGTCTCCCTTATGCGCCCCGTGCATGCACGGCAGACCCCAAAACCAGCTAGCCAGCGGGAGGAGCTGAGATGGGGTGAGGGTCGTGTGCCTGCAGAGAGGGCTCTGCGTGGCATCTGTGGCACGTGTGCCCTAGGTTTGCTACCATGGTACTAGAGCCCGGAAGAGCAATGGGCAGAGGTTGGCATGCCCAGAGAGATGGCTCTGCGTGCCAGGGGTTCCCCATCACGGATATTTCCCAGCAAAACCTAGCAGCTTTCTCCTGTGACCAAGCCCTTCTCGTACCTCCAACATCAACTGAGTGAATTCTTCATTGGTAAGAAATGAGGGTTTCCAGTCTTGTCTAATCTCACAGGCTTCGGTCTGGGCTGAGATTTCTAAAAGTAAAAAAGGAGAAAAGCAATTGGATTAAGGGGGGAAAAGTGGCAGCATTAAGGGTGGAATATGGAAAAAAAGCGATGTTTTTTTTTCCTTTCAGGAAATGATCTTCTTTTAGCCTGATTTTATCTTACTACAGTAACTGAGAAAGGGGGTGGGGGGAGTGAATATTATTAGGTTTAGTCCAGAAAGGCATCAAGAGATTTATACGGTTACGTGTTGTGTAAAAGAAGAAATAAACTTAAGAGTCCCAGTCCCCCCCCCCCCCTCACAGGAAAAGATACCGTCATTCTTTGAAGCAACTAGAAGTCAGGAGAAATTTCCTGACAATGAGAGCAATGAATCAATGGGACAACTTACCTCCGGAAGTTGTGAATGCCCCAACACTGGAAGTTTTTAAGAAGATGTTGGATAACCGTTTGTCTGAAGTGGTGTAGGATTTCCTGCCTAGGCAGGGGGGTTCTACTAGAAGACCACCAAGGTCCCTCCCAGCTCTGTTATTCTATTCTATTCTATTCCATCCTCATGATCAGCTTTTTAAAAATATTTTTTTAATATTCTTTTTAAAAAGGAAACAGAATGTTCCACAGCAACAAGAAGAGTGGAGGTCAAGCCTTGTGGCCCCCGTACCTTTCTGCTTCTGTAAAAAGTCAATAGTCCTCTGTAAGATCGTGGACTTGTCCATCTTGAGCGGGTGCCCATGGCCTTGGAGCATGGTGCACAGTTCCTTAATGAGGACGTTGAACTGGTCTCTCCTTTTCTTCTCTGATTTGTTACGGGACGCCCTGGTCAAAGGAAGCACAAAGTTGCCTTGATTCAATTTCCCCTTCCGTGGGCAAATCTACGAGGGCAAGGATGCCCTTCACAAGGGATGGTCAAAAGTGTCGGCATCTCACATCCTGGAGATTGAGAAGTTCCCTCAGCCCTCCCGCACGAGTGCGAAAGCTTGGAAGAAGAAGAAAGCTCTGAACCGACCCAGGTTGGGTCAACATTATCCCGGGAGACGTGTATGTGCCTCCCTGGGGGGGTTTTCTTCTGCGGCTGATCTCAGAAGCAACACAATCACTGCAAGGTGTCCAGAGGGGGAGACACAGCTCAGCCTCCGCCATCCAAGCAGACGTGGTATTCTGCCGCCTCGGATTTGCCCACCCGCCCTGCCTCCATGGCATCCCACTGGGGCACTTTTCTTTTTCACCAAAGCTGTGCACAAAAAGCTGAGCACACGTGCCGACAAGGCGAAGCTAGCACACGCATGGGCTCACATTTGCAAACCGGTAGGGAAGGTAAGTGAAACCCCCCCCCTCCTCTGCTTCCAAGGACACAAACAGTTCCCCGCCCCAGCCTTTGTACCTCTTTGCCCTGTCCTTCTCATCTTCGTCCATCAGTTCGTTTAAGGAATTCAGAGTTCTGCAATGAAAATAGGCAACTGTCACTTTTCTGTTGGCATAACAAACACTACTTGGGGCTACGAAATGGCAGCGTTAGTTGCTTTTGCGAGTTATGCAACCCCGGTATGTATATAACTGATGCACAGATAAATAAATAAACATCATAAATGAATGGTTGGATATGGAGCTTCTGTTTCTTCCCTGGTTTATTTAGGTTTGTCATTTGTGATTCCCGAGAGTTACGGCCAAACAATTATATTTAAAAATCTGTAAAGTGGCATCAGTTATCCAGTCCATCTCCTCGTGTGTCCAAAATATGTCAAGTGATAATCCTTCAACATTGGAGCATGGGGATGTGATAGACATGTGTAGATGCAAAAAAATACTGGACTAAAATACATACATGGCTGGAAAAGATGATACAACAACATATATTGACTTAAAATCTGAAATATTTTTGTTGGGGATTTTACCAGAAACTATTCATGTTATGAGAGCAGCTAGGATTGTATTTACGCAAAACTGGAAAAGTGAAGAGATTCCCACAGAGGAGAATGCAATTAGGAAAATATTGGAATGTGCAGAAATAAACAGATTAATACTGGCAATTTAATAGAAAGAACAAATTGATTATTATACTTATATGGGAATCATTTTATTGATGGTCATAGAATAAAAGTAAGAACCAGAAATAAAATTAGCTGTGTAAAAATGCATTAATAGAGTTAACACAATTAACAGAGTTAAATAAAGTAAGAAGAGGATTGTTATAGTATTAGATATTTAAAATATTGGTATTAAACTGAAATAGATAAATAATGAATATGATTATAAATTTGAATTGTTATTGCACAAAATATTTGTACCCAGATGAGACACTTTCAGGTTTTCCCCACCCAAATGAAAGTCCAAGTCCCTGCCCAGCACCCACATGCCCATCACTCGATCCAATCGGACACCGTCCCAACTGGAGATGCCTCCCAGTCACACCACTCCAGGTGCAGGGCAAGAAGTCCTTGCACTTCAACTTCCAACCCTACGTTTCTATGTTGTATGATAGCCAGCCTCAATAAAAAAAAAATACTTCTAGAGCTGCTTTCTTGGCCTGGCCAACTTGGAGACGACAGCCAGGAAGCATCTAATCTCAGTTTCAAGAGAGGTGGGACTAATTTAGAGATCTAGAGAAGAAATCTGAAGATCTGAAGAAGAAACTATTTCCCAAGTGTTTGATTGGCATGGGATTTATCAATCCAGATTAAAGACATGGCGACATACCACAGATCTAACCAACAAGCCACAATAGACGATCTTAGCAAAATCTAACTCTAGGTTTTTTAGAAGGAAAGTGGACCAGGATTTCTACGTCATCTACAAAGAAGGTCGTCTTTGGGGAATAAGGAGAAACCTTCCCCAGACCAAGGCACCAAATACGCCTTGGAACCTCATCCTCCATCAATCAGAAACCGATGAATCAATGCCGATGAATCCGAGGCCACACCCGGTGCCCCAAGGGCATTTTTACATGGCTACATGGGTGCAGCCAAATATTTTTGGCTGCGCTGCACTCACTACCTCCAATATGTAAGAGAAGCCTCATGCCACATTGCCTTCTCTAATCACCTTCATGTTTCACCAGCAAGCCAGATGTCTTCCCAGCAGGGGCCTTTCGAGTAAGGAAAACCGCCAAAATTGCAGCCAAATGTTGCTTGCAGACAAACCTGGTTAGACTCCCAGCCAGACAACAGTTTCAACAGGACTTCATGTTATAGCAATAGCAGTTAGACTTATATACCGCTTCATAGGGCTTTCAGCCCTCTCTAAGAGGTTTACAGAGTCAGCATATTGCCCCCACCCACAGTCTGGGTCCTCATTTCACCCACCTCGGAAGGATGGAAGGCTGAGTCAACCTTGAGCCGGTTAGATTTGAACCGCCGAACTGCAGATAACAGTCAGCTGAAATGCCTCGGCTCTTATATGTTATGCCATGTTTTTCTCCTAAATGTGCTTCTTTTCATCCAAGCAACCAATATTTTGCATCCACAACACACATATTAAAGCAGATTGGTCCACACAGGTCCAAAGTCCTTGACTTACAACCAACAATGGAGCCCAAAATTTATGTTGCAAAGCGAGACAGTTGTTAAGGGACCATCACTCCCTTTTATGGCCTTTCTTGCCACAGTTGTTAAGTGAATCACCGCAGCTGTTACATTAGTAATACCGTTGGGATCTGCTTCCGGTTTCTCCACTGACTCTGCTCACCAAAGGGGATCACACGATCCTGGGACAATCGTCGTAAATACGAATCATTTGCCAAACATCCAAATTTTGATCATATGACTGTAGGGATGTGGCAACAGTTGTAAGTGTGAAAAACAGTCGTAAGTCACTTTTTTTAGTGCTGTAACTTCAAACAGTCACTAAATGAACTGTTGTAAGTCGAGGACTACCTGTATTTTAAATGGCTTGAAGTATTATCCGAACTTAGGGTCCGTGTGCTTGCAAGTACTTTGCTACATATTGACTGACAGATTAATTCATTATCTACCTGTATAAAAATGGCTGTGTGTGTGTGTATGTGCCAGCATAACTCTGGAACCCCTTGAGCAATTTCAACCAAAGTTGGTACACAGATGACTTACTCTCTGGAAACAAATACTGTGGAGTTAAGATATCCCCAACACCCTCGGTGTGCGTGTGCTCTGTTAAGATACAGCCTGTTGTGCCTTAAAATGACTTATACTGTACTGCCATAAAATGGCTTCTACTGCACAGTGCAGTGGATTTGCCATGGTAAAGGCTTCACAGTACTCCACAAGGGGACTCCCTCTGGTAAGGGGGAAAATCCAACATTAGAAATTATGTTTGGTCAGGACATTTTCCCCCTATAAATAAATACCCAGGCAACACCAGGTTATCAGCCAGTATGCCACAACGTCAGGATAAACTCTTAGCATCCACTTTGATAGATTTTCACCAGAGCCATCTGTAACTAATTGAGCAATCTGAGTTATATCAGAATCACCAAAAGAAAACAAAAATCAGATTATGCAAATTACCTGTTTTATCCTGCAGATTAATTAATTCCAGGTTGGCAGGGGATGGTAAGGATATTTTATTGCCACCATGAAAAGAAAGAAATGATCCTAAAAAGCAAGAAGTTTCAGAAAACTGTCAAACTTTTTCGTCTTTTTTTTTTGGTCATCTCAATCATAATATCCGTCTACTGCCATGTTTATACACCTTGGCAACTTTAAAATGGGTGGACTTCAACTCCCAGAATTCCCCAGCCATGGAAATTCTGGCTGGGGAATCCCCAGGGGACTTCTGGGAATTGAAGTCCGCCGATCTTGAAGTTGCCAAGGTTGAGAAATACACTGATTTATAGGAGTAGAAGAAACATGTTGAATAAAAATGTCAAAATATATTTTATGAATGGATTATCGACCTGCTTATCATCATTTCAATTGCAAGTTATATTTGCTGTCATTACAAAGGCATTAACGCTGGGGAATTCTGGGAGTCGGAGCACACACATTTTTAAGGTGCCGAGGTTGGGCAAAAGTGGTTTACATCTTATTTGGTGTCTTTTGTTTATTTATTTAATCCCACCTTTATTGTTTTTACAAATAACTCCAGGTGGCGAACATATCTAACACACCTTCCTCCTGCTATTTCCCCCAGAACAACGACCCTGTAAGGAGGGTTGGATGGAGAGAGGGGGACTGGCCTAAAATCACCCAGCTGGCTTTTTCCGGGAAGGCAGGACTAGAACTGTCTCCGGGTGATTGGCCCAAAGTCACCCAGCCACCTTTCGTGCCTAAGGCAGGACTAGGATTCACAGTCTCCCGCTTTCTAGTCTGGTACCTTAATCAACAGACCAAGCGGGCTCTTATAGAATGTTAGCAAGGAAAAAAAATGAGGCTTTATGTTATTAACATGATGTAGAATTTTATACAAAACTTGGGATTTATCCTTCTTTGAAGGACTTGGGGTTTGTTCAGATTTGTACAAGCCAAAAATTGTTTGATGGTAGCATGTAAAATCTCAGACTGAAACTCCGCCTTGCGTGTCTGTCTTTGAAACGGCTCTTTATCAACATAATGAGAAGACTAAAAGCAATTATTCTGCACAATTATTGCGTAGAATTATTATTCTACACAAACGAAGGCCAATTGCATTATTCTAAGCGGTTGCGATTTAATTTGTTGTTTGAAAAACCAAGAGGCAATTATACACTCGTGTTAAAGCACAAATATAATGGGAGCGTAATTCGTCTCCGTGCAAGTCATTGGCCAGGTATGGGAGGAACAAGGGCAACTCCACTGTCACACCCTGAAGGCATGAGGGCACTCCGGCCACTTGTGGGTTTGACACAGGAAGGAGGAGAAAACAGGCCCTCTGTGTGAGGAAGAACCTGCTGGGCAGCCACGCCTAAGTGCCGGCTAATGTTTTTTTTCCTTATTTTACGAATATGTTAGATTAAGAGGGAGATGTTACCAATTGTCCTGTTAAAGTCACTCAGTTGGCTTTCATGCCCACGGTGGGACTAGAACTCACGGTCTCCTCGTGATTGGCCCAAAGTCCCCAGCCAGCTTTTATGAAAGTAGAACTCGAACTCATCCAGTCAGCTTACCTGCCTAAGGTAGAACTACTCTCCCTCTCTCCCCCTTCTCCCTCCCCCCCTCTCTCTCACACACACACTCGAAGCCAATTTGATTGCACATCATCCATCCATCCATCTATCCATCCATCCATCCATCCATCCATCCATCCATTCATCCATCCATCCATCCGTTCTGTACAAACCGCCCTCCATTCTCCATAATGCCCTGGCAGCCCATTAAGGAAAAAACAATGGCAGACTAATTGAGCAAGGCAGGGATCAAAATATGGGTTGCCCTGCCTGGGTGTGGCCAAAGATTTATTTATCCAGCCTCAAGTTGTTGCTGACACAAAACAAGGCAGGGCTCAGAATGGGAAAATCAGGGAGTTTTTCCTTGCCACCCGAGTGATCTA